ATTGGAGTTAATTTATTTGTTTTTTTTTAAATTGAAAAGTATGCTTTATTAGAACTATGAAATATCCATCAATTCACTGAATTTATTTTATAAAAAAATCACCTCCAAGGTGCGACTTCATTCTTTCCTGTTCATAAAAGAGGACATCTGGCCTTCCACTCACACTTGTGAATTGTAGTAGGTATTCATGTCACATACCATTGTACAAGTGTCTGCAATATTCTGTGTAATGCCGGTGTAAGTAGTTCCACTGTGATTCGAAAGTGCATATAGACTATAACGACAAGAAGCCAAATTGTTTGCTGCATAATTGATAATATCTAATCCTTCATAAGGAAAGTCAATGACAACATTCAATTCGCCTCTGAATCTTTCCTTTCGCCTCTGAATCTTTCCTTTCGAGAGAATATTTTTTAATGAATTACTAAAATACGGGGAAACTTATGGATTGATAGGGACTTTGTGCATTTTATCCGTTCCTTCCACCTCGAACACGTCAGTTTTTCATCTCCATCCAGAGTGTCCTCTCTTGTGAAAGAATCCAAACATTGCGAGAATCTCAATTGGCCATCAGTTCTTTGTGGTATGGGGAAAGACATTCCAAAAAGGATCGAAGTTTACTGATGAGTGTCCACAATATGTGCACTTCATAGTTGATTTTAATTGACAAAAGAAATTGTCTACAATCTCAAATTTCTCAGTTGTCGTCAATTTTTTTTCAATCTCCGTTATGATCGGTTTAGGCTTCTCAGTAATTCTATTAACGTCCTGGGAACTCCTGGGCGTCGTGATGGGGATAACCCATGAATCGGGAGGCAAATCTTTGAATATGACTTTAAAAGTAGACTTTCTACTTTATTAGATGAATCTTGTCACCACAATTCCTCAATAACTACTGCGAACGCTTCGATTAAAGCACCAAAATAGGACTGTTTTTTGTATGATGGTCAGCGGCTGTGTGATCAACTATAATTTTCTACAACGGAGCTAAACCATCACAGCAGAGACCTATTGTGAGGAAATCGATGGAATATACCGAAAATTACTTCAGCAGCAGCCGGTACTGGTCAACAGTAAAGGTCCGATCATGCTCCACGACAATACCCGTCCAACGTTTCACAAATTACCGTCCGAAAATTAAACAAATTGAGCGTCGAAATTCTGCCTCACCAGCCATACTCTCCAGACCTCTCGCCAACCGACTACCATCTTTTCAAGCACTTCGATAACTTTCTCACCGGTCGACTTCAACGAATCCCGAGTGCAAAACTT